AGTGCCATGGCGTCACAGCTCACAGCAACCTCCAACTCTTGGGCTTAAGCAATTCTCTTGCCTCAGCCTCCCAAGTAGCTGGGACTACCGGTGTTCACCACAACACCTGGCTATTTTTTATTGCTATTGTCATTGTTGTTTTAACTGGTCTGGGCTGGGTTCAAACCTGCCAGCCTCAATGTATGTGGCTGGTGCTGTAACCACTGTGCTACAGGCACTGAGCCACTGAAGACCAAATTCTTCAGTGAAAGACAATCTCATTGAAAAATAATCTCACTGACAGAAAAGTAATAGGAGGATAGCAAAAATAAAAGCTTAGCAATTTACTGTGTTAGAAGTCAGGACAGTCATGTTTCCTTTGTGGGGGGTAGAGACAGTCTAAGAGAACATAAAGAAAATCTCTGGTGTTCTGTTTCTTGATATGGGTGGTAGGATTTTTGGGTGTGTTCATCAGTTTATAAAAATTCACCAAGTTGTATATTTTCCTGTATTTTCTTACATATGATAAGAATATTCTTACCTTTTTAATAAAAAGGTAATTCTCTCACATACACACATAAGTTGACTTCTACTTTGGTCAAGATTCAGTTACAGGGATTGATCAGACTATCTTCCTGCTTGAATCAACTAACAGACCAGAAAAAATTTGTGAAACCCAGGCACTCGGCACATTGAACAAAGGCAACGAAGGACAGTGACATCTAAGAGTTGGGATATAGTTCAGAAGTCCCTACTATGGCAATTCCCTGGAGAGTATATCCAGACTGCAGCACAGGGACAGGGAACACAGGCAGAGCCTGGAAGGCTCCCTGAGTTACGAAAATATGGCTGCAATGCAAAGGGCAGAACACCAGAGGAGGGCTGGCCAGAAAAAAAGCTCTGAAGCTCTGTAGAGGACTTCAAGTCTATAGCTTAGCACTGATCAGTTTATGGCCACAGGGGAGCAAATCCCCTGAAAAGACGACATGGAATAATTCCCAAAGACAACAAAGGGCTGAGAATAGGTCCTGATTTCACCAACCAGACAGAAAAACATCATAATTCATGTAGTATCAGATAGCATACTAGAAGAGTTTTACCTTGATAGTACGGTAAAATTAGCCATAGAATAAACACTACTCAACAAACAAATCCCAACAAACAAAAAAGCAAGTCCTGAAAGGATCAATCTGTTTCCAAGGAACCTAACCATTTCCCAGAACAAAGCTCAAGAATACTTAACGTATAAGAGGCCGGACAGGACACCTGTCCTATAAGAGGCCGGACACCTGTAATCCTAGCACTCTGGGAGGCCAAGGAGGGTAGATGGCTTGAGTTCATGGGTTCAAGATCAGTCTGAGCAAAAAGTAAGGCCCTGTCTCTACTAAAAATAGAAAAACTGAGGCAAGAGGATTGCTTGAGCCCAACTGTTGGAGGCTGCTGTGAGCTATGATGCCACAGCACTCTATCCAAGGGCGATAAAAAAAAAGAACATTTATAAACAAGATAGGCCAGACACGTTAGATCAGGTCTATAAGCCTAGCATTCTAGGAGGATGAGGCTGGTGGATTGCTTGAGTTCAGGAGTTTGAAACTAGCCTGAGCAAGAGTGAGACCCTATCTCTACTAAAAGTCAAAAAATTGAGGCAGGAGATCATTTGAGCCCAGGAGTTTGAGGTTGCTGTGAGCTATGATGATGCCATGGTACTCTATCCTGGGCAACAGAATGAGACTGTCTCAAAAAACAAAATAAAATAAAATAAAAAGTTAAGAATATCACATGGAAGGCAAAACTTAAAAAAAAAGAATATAAACAAAGTAAAATTCATATTTTGGCATTCAATAAAAAATTATTAGGCATGCAAAGAGGCAGAAAAACATGATCTCTAATTAAACAACTGATTGGAATCAACTCCAAAATGATACAGATGATATAACTGATAGGTAAGGATATCAAGATAAGTTACTTATTATAATAAATGTATTACAAATGTTCTAATAGCAGGAGGAAAGACTGAACAGGTATGAAAGACATGATGTGCTGAATATATGAAAGATATTAAAAAGGATCCAAATATAATTTTTAGATAATTAAATTGTAATGTCTGAGATGAAAAATACATTGGATAAAATTAACAGATTAGATACCACAAAAGAAAAAAATTAGTGACCGAGGCTATAAGCAATAGAAACTATCTAAAATGAAAAATACAGAGACAAAAATGAACCCCATCCCATACGTCAAAACCCCTGAACTGAGATAATCAGTGACCTCTGAGACAATTTCAAGTGGCCTACCATACCTGCAATTGGAGTGTCGGGGAGGGGGGTAACAGAAAAACCATTTCAGCAAATAATGATCCATATTTTCCCAAGGTTGATGAAAGTTACATACCCATGAATCAAGAAGCACAATGAACTTCAAGAACAAGAACCATGATGAAAACTACACCAAGGTGTATCATAACCAAATTGCTTAGAAACAGCAGTTAAAAGAAAAATCTTAAAATCAGCCGCAAAGGGAAGAATATCATTTGTGTGCAAAGGAACAAAGACAAAATTACAGTAGACATCTGATCAGAAATACTGCAGTGGAGCAACACCTTTAAAGTACTGAAAGCTAAAACTGCCAACATAGTATTCAGTAGAAAGAACACTCAAAGATGAAGGTGAAACAAAGACATTTTCAGACATACAAAAGCTAGAAGAACCATTGCAGCAGAACTTCACTATCAAAATGTTAAAGGAAGACCTTCAGGTAGAAGGAAAATGATACCAGATGGAAATTTGGAACTACACAGAAGAAAACTGGAAGCGGAGACTACAGGGATAAAGATAAAAAACTTCTTATTCAAAGTTCTAAAAATACAATTGACCTTTTAAAGAAAAAATAATAACAATATAATGTGGGGAAATATAAAATATGTAGACATAGTATTCTTGACAACAGGACGGGAGGGAAGAAATAGAAATATACTGTTGTGAGTATATTTCTTATATGATACATGAATTGATACGATATCACTTGAAGACAGACTGTAGTAAGTGAAAAATACATACTATAAAGTCTACAGTAACCACTAAACTAACAAAACAGTTACATACATATAGCTAACAAGTCAGCAGAGGAGATAAAATGATTAAGAATATTCAGTTAAACATGAGAAATTTAAATCCAACTGTATCACTAGCCACATCAAAATGTAAATGGACTAATCACTCTAATTAAAAGATAGAGATGGCTGAGTTGAATAAAAAAGTGATACCTAATTATATAAGAAACTGACTTTAAATATTTTTACCTAATTCATTTTTTTTTTTTTTTTTTGAGACAGAGCCTCAAGCTGTCACCCTGGGTAGAGTGCCATGGCATCATAGCTCACAGCAACCTCCAACTCTTGGGCTTAAGCGATTCTCTTGCCTCAGCCTTCCAAGTTGCTGGGACTATAGGCACCTGCCACAACACCCGGCTATTATTTGGTTGCAGTTGTCACTGTTGTCTCACAGGCCCGGGTTGGATTCAAACCCATCAGGTGTATGTGGTTGGTGCCTCAGCCACTTGAGCTATAGGCACTGAACCCTAATTCATTTTTAAAATTATGTTAATATAATGGAGATAGTAATTCTAATAATTGAATAACAACAAGGTAATAAGAATTAATCTTATTTAGTTCTTTTATTTACTTATCTTTCTGAGACAGAGTGTCACTATGTTGCCCTTGGTAGAGTGCTATGGCATCACAGCTCATAGCAACCTCAAACTCTTGGGCTTAACCAGTGGTTCTCAACCTGTGGGTCATGACCCCTTTGGAGAGGTCTCCTGCATATCAGATACTTACATTACAATTCATAACAGTAGCAAAATTACAGTTATGAAGTAGCAATGAAAATAATTTTATGGTTGGGGGTCACCACAACATGAGGAACTATATTAAAGGGTCGCGGCATTAGGAGAACCACTGGTTAAGCAATTCTCTTGCCTCAGCCTTCTGAGTTGCTGGGACTATAGGCACCTGCCACAACGCCTGGCTATTTTTTGTTGCAGTTGTCATTGTTGTTTAGCAGGTCCAGGCCGGGCTTGAACGCGCCAGCCTCGGTGTATGTGGCTAGTGCCCTACTCACTGAGTTCCGGGCACCGAGCCTAGTTCTTTTATTTTGCTATAAAATTATAGATCACTAAGTTGTGGGTTTTCTTCTCTGCTAACCTCCTTTATGCTTACTGAGGCGAGAAATAGGGATTTTTTTTTTAAAAAAATTCACAATACAAAGGAAGTCTGTATAAAACGTTAACCAGGGTTTGTATATTTTTATGAATTGCTAATAATGGCTGCATGGTAATAGCCTAGTCACCATAGTCTACTTGGTGATTGTTGATTGAATAGTAAGAATATTAACTCTCAGGAGTTCTCAAATGATCTTCTTAAATATCATGTTGAATTTAGCCATTCTCTCCTAAAGATCTGCAGGATATATTGCAAACACTTAGATGGCACGTAAAATATCCAAAAAGCTTATCACATAAATTCTGCTCTAAATTTAGTATTAATATCCCCTTACCATTCATTAGGCTTTCAACCTCTAATTCTCCCTAGGTCATGCTGCGATAATGAAACTTTTTCTGTTCTCTTTATTTAGGCAATTTTCTCTTAAACCTTCAGTAGTCAATTTTACATACCCCTCATCTGATAGAAGTATGTATGGTCTATCACTTACACAGTTGTTTTGTCCTATTATTCACTGATCCTTTGTTTATGTTGTATCTCCCCAACTTGTTAATCCACATGCCACCCAAGGCTATATTTGTACATACTAAGTATTGAATAAATGCTTGTTGAATTAAAAGGGAGAGATGAAGAAATGTGTTCAGAATATAAAAGGGTATTTTAAGCCAATGTATTACATGTACCATGTTATAATAAATCTAAACCACCAAAAATCTCATGAAACTAAAACCTTACTTATAAAGTCTATCAAAAATTTACATTGTATATCTTTTTTTTGAGGCAGAGTTGCCTTGGGTAGAGTGCTGTGGTGTCATAGCTCACAGCAACCTCCAACTCTTGGGCTCAAGCGATTCTCTTGCCTCAGTTTTTCTATTTTTAGTAAAGACAGGGTCTTGCTTTTGCATGAGCTGGTCTTGAACTTGTGAGCTCAAGCAAACCACCTCCCTCGGTCTCCTAGAGTACAAGGATTATAGGCATGAACCACTGTACTCGGCCTCCATTGTATATCTTAAGGGCCTGTAAATATCAAAACATCTTTGAAAGAATAAAAAGGGTAGCTATTTCTGATGAGTAACTGTCAACATATCTCATTTTCCTTGGAATAATGAACTGTGCTGTAGTAAGTGTGTGAATGGTGCCACTTACCTGTTCAGGGCACACAGTGTTCATTCCTGGCATCTGCAAAGAGCTCATCTGCATCTGGCCCATCATTGGGTTCATGTTCTGAACATTTGTGTTTCCACCTGCCATGGACACGGTGATGCTCATATTGTTGTACACTCCTGGCTGTGCAGGTGTGGGTTGGTTCTGGACAGCTTGACTGAACACACTGTTAACTCAAAAACAATCCAGATTACATCCACTGATCATGAACATGAAATGCTGTGACTATGTAAATTATTGGGTATAATTATTAGATAGAATTCCAAGTAAAATATTTTAATTCCTTAAGTTGCATGTAAAACTGTATCTTATTACAATAATAAGAGTTGAATTTAAGTCAGCTACATTTTAACTCTGCCCAAGGGGTTTAATAACTGAAAAGAGCTCAGTTTAAGTCATTTTAAATTATAATTATCTGGTTCAGTATCAGAGATACTAAGCTCTAAATATCTGAATAACTAAGAAAGGAAGTTTTCCACAAAAGTAAATCTTCCAGGTAACTGAAGTTCACCCATCTAACCACCAAAAACCACTTTAAAATTTATTACATTGTTTTATCTTAAACAGAGAATGTCCTAATTAGGCAAAGGGTCTGGAAGATATACATGAATGAATCATCAATAAGCACTCACTGAATGAATTAACAAAGGAATAAATGATTCAGGGATAGCATTCTT